TTCTTTGTAAAAACTTCAATTGAATTTCAATAAAGTTAAAGGCATAGCCTCACCATTAATATTTAAAAAAAAAAAAACTAGCTAGCTATATATAAAACCTTGTAACTCTTTTTGCAGATCACTTATACCAAATTTTTGCTAAAAACATTTAACTATTTTTAATTATTTTATTAAGTTAATCTTTACTTTTACTTTTAAGTAAACTTGTTCAAAGCATTTTTTTATTTTTTAGTAACTAAGTTTCAAGCTTTAGCAATATCTAGTTACTAAGAAAAATTACAAAAACTAAATTTTGGTTTTTGTTTATTTTCTTAAAATTCTATTAATTAAATATACTTTCTATCTTAGTAATATTTTGTTCATCACTCTTTTTGATGATTACTTGAACCAAAGTTTCCAAAAAGCTGAACTACAGAAAATGATATAGTTAATATATTAAACTTAATAAAAACCTTTTTGAAGTACTGTACACATATTGTTAGACATTAAAATAGAATTAAAAAAGAGTTATAGCCTTGTAATAATGGTTTAAAAAACACTCTGGAACTATAGAAGAAGTAGTTAGTAAAAGCCAAAGTTTTTTATTAAGTAAACAACAAGTTGGATATACTGTATTAGTTTATACAACTATAAAACCTACAAGAAACACTCATAAGAGTTAAGAACTCATAAAAGCTAAAAAAGTTGATTCACCTAACATTTCTACTTTTTTTAAAGAAAATTTTCTAAAAGTAAATAATTCAGTTTACTCTCTTCTAAAAATTAACATATAAAAACATCAAAACAGTCAGCAATGTTTATTTTTTAAACAGAATTGTTAATAACATAGATTAGAAATAATATAGCAATACAAACATGATTATACACATGACTCAAGCTGCTGGAAATCTGTTAAATACTGCTTCCAAACTAATTAGTATTCTATGTCAACCCTTTACAATAAAGTCAAAGTTTTTTTTTCTTTTTTGGTTTTTTGTTTTAAATAATCTAAATAAATAGAAAAATAGTAAAATAATTTTTATTTAGTATAGTTTATAATTTTTACAAGCCTGGTACAGGCTTATAATTGTAATTGTCTGATATTTGTGAATTGCAAGTTTTATATTCAATACAAGCTTAAAATTATAACTGTTTGATTTTTTATAAATTGTAAGTTTTATATATATTTTTTTTCTTGTTTATCTCTTTTCCTTCTTTTATTTCTTATTTTGTATCTTTTATCATTTACTCTTATACCTCTATTTTTTTTTTATATATATAAAATCTTTTTTTTTGTTTTTTTGCTTTTCTATAAGAAGACATTATCAGATTGGTAGTATTCTATTATAGGATAATAGTCAGATAAGAAATCTACTTTTGTTTGGGGTAGTGCAGCAGATCATTTTTAGATATCAATAAGATGGTTGAATAATGTTAGACTTAAGTATTAGAAAAAGTTTCTGTAATCTGTATAGTATCAAGAATTCTAATAAAGTACTAGTATAACTGCTTAAGTTAAATATATATATATATATATATATTGTTTAGCTTATCAAATAAACATTTGATATATATTTTATCAAAAATAGATTAAAACTTATTAAAATATTAACAAAAAGGCAAAACTAAAACCTGTTTTTGCAGGATTTTTTAAAGGCAATTTTAGAAAAATTTGTTGAGTTGTTTTAAAATTTTTATTTTTCTAATATCTAATTACCTTTTTTAATAACTTTAAATTTTTTAGATCTTTTCTAAATAGTCTAAAAATTCTTAAATTTAAGAAACTTTTTTAGAAAATTTAGTTTTATAAATATTTTAACAAATTTTAATACTACAAAATTATTTAGTACACATAGTTATACAAAATTCCTATCTTGATAACAATCACATTTAATAATATTAACTTTGACTACTTTTATCAAAAATGTTCTAAAAGCTTTGATATTTGAATTTATAAAGATAATATAAATACATTATGTCTTATTCTTTCTAACAAACAATTTAGTAGCTGTATAACAATTAAACTTAGAAATGTTATTAAAAATAATCACTTTTTTAAGTTACTAACAATAAGTTTTATTGTTAATTATCTCTATAAAAAATTCTATACACATTTTATTTTAGCAAATAACTAAACATATAATGAAAATGAAGCAATCAATATAATTAAAAAAACTAAAGACAAAAAATCTCTAGTATATAATATTATGAATTCTACCAAATTTATTCTATTATCACCTAACTCATCTCTCTTACCTATTACATATCAGCATACATGTGCTGTTTACAACCTACCCATTAACTGTAAAGTAACTAACAACTAATACTACTTAGCAGCTGATTTAATCCTAACCAATTTTAAAAAACAGTTAATTGTAACAGAAAAAATTGCAAATTTTTGCTGATACTGAGATTTGAACTCTAGATCTGCCACTTAAAAGTTGACAACCTAACCACTTCACTAGGTTACTACACACCTTTAAAAAAATTTAACTTAGCTATTTTGATAAGTATTTTAAATATTTTAAAACTTTAAACAAAAATTTTTTGACAATTATTTGATCTAATTCAATGAATTTTTTTTATATCTTTAAATTTATAGAATTAAAATAAAAAATATTCATTAAATTTAATAAATAAGTATTAAAATATCTTTACTCAAAGTCTTGTCTTATTAAAAAAAAATGAATAAATTTAGAAAATATAAAAAAAATAGCTTCTAAATCATTTGTAATTAATAATAAAAATGCTTATTGACATTAACTAATTCATAATAATAGCTTTAAATACGTATTACTATATATTAAAAATAAAATCAATTATTAACTATTATAAGAACTATTTTGTATTATAGTCAAACCTTTTAATATTTATATTTTTTTTTTTACATTTGCTTATAATTATATAAATTTTTAAAACCAACTTATATAACACTTATAAATTTAACCTCCATATAAGCACAACCTCTCTATAAGCACCAAATTCTTAAAATTAAGAGTGTTATTATAAAGAAGTTTGACTTTAATATTTTATACATTAATAATAAAATTCATTAACAATTATAAGAACTATTTTTGAATTTAAAATTTTTTATACATTTAAAAAGTATATGCAGTTAGACAGTATTCGATTTAACAATATCAACTGTATATATTTCAATTATTAAAACAACTTGGCATGTATAAACTTTATTTTATCTCTATAACTATTGTTACAATATATATGAATTATTAAACTTTTAACATAGAGGCCAAAAAAATAGATTTCATAATTTGCGGCAAATCCTTATTATTCAGACAAATGTGTGCATGGCTACCAAGACTTTTTTTTAGTCTTAAGTTTAAGAAGAAAAATTAAAAAAATTAAATCACACCTTGAAATTATGATAAATCACAAGCTTTTTTTTACTTACTTTTCAGCTTGATCTTGTAAAGATCCAATAAATATTATAAAGGAATTTACCTTCTCATCTTCTTTCAATACTATTATTGATGTTATGGCATGAGTTATAGTACCAAATCTATATAATTAAATACACTTGACTCTAGCGAATATCAACCCGTTTGTATCACTTTTATTTTAATGTTGATAGTGATATCTTAATGAAGGATTATATTAAAGTTGAGATATATGTTTTAAGTGGAAACGAAATTTAGGAATTTTCTAGTTAAATTAGAGTTAGGGTATGGGTGTTTATACGATAAAATCAACACGAAATGCTGGTTTTATACAAAAATTCCGGATCCACTTAAATTCAGTTTCCACTTATATACAATATAATTTTATTTTAATATATAGACATTCAGTTTATTGTTTAGGTTGATATTAACGAGGGTAAAGTATAATTTGAAATTTGTTATTAAATAATAATACCTCTTGCAATATCTTCTGGATTAATTTTATATTGTTGAATATTAGCATCAGAAAGCACAACAACAAAATAATCATCAGCTGCTTCTTTTGTAATATCTTTAACAGCATGTAAAACTGCACCCAGTGTATTATCTATAAAACGATGTTTCATGCTTAAGATGATTTGTATAACATTTAACAAAATATTTGTAAGAAACTTGTCGTGTACCTCCACTAAGACAAAACTGCGAATGAGTATGCATTCTATTCAACACTTTAAATGTCTCCTTTTCAGTACGCGGGTATTTTCCTTTTTTTACGAATTCAACATTAGGTGAATCTCCGCTATGTCCAAAAATTTGGTATTGGAATTTATGTTCAAAAGATTTAAATGACTCCATGACCACTAATAATAACATATATTATTTGATTTGTATAATATAAATATGAAAATACACAATATCGGACTTACTAAGAGCCACTTCCATGGAACGGTCCAATCGACGATCATGAGAATTGAATCGATACATACTAAAATTCATTTTTCAAGAGCAATAATCAATTATATAAGCATTTGAAATGCAATGTTATGAGATGGACTAACCTGGCACTTAAATCGAAAACAAAATATATCTTCTTAGGACGAGCTTGGTAGAATCCATTTTCGGGATCATTCTCACCACGGCGCTTATAAATATTTATATCGCCAGTTAATCCTTCGATTCTAAACAGCGGGTGAAATTAAGTTATTTTGACAAAAAACTACATTTAAATGATAGGTTACATAAAGTTTTGAGGATTTACAATTTGGTATCATCTACATCTCCGGAGCTCTGATTTTTTAACCATATACGTTCTTTCTCCTTAGCTTCAATACTTTCCAATATTACATGCAGTTCTCGAATTTCACGCTGAACGTTGGCTTTATATGAACGATATGACTCAAAATCTTCTTGAGTCATGTTGATTTGTTCAAGTCGTTTTTGCATTGCCAATTTATGCAATTCTCTAAAAACATGAAAAGCATGTTATTTTATTCATAAAATATAAGCGCTTATCAAAATACAAACCTTTGGGCTTCGGTAAGTTCAAGTGGTTGTTTAGTTTCAGTTCTCTAATTTATTTATTTATTTGTTCAATAAGGCCAGTAACATAAAACCAAATCAAATATTTATTAATATACTCACAAGCTCCAACTTTTCAACATCTACAAAGGTTTGCTGCCTTCCTTTAGAATTCATCGGATCACCAGCACCTCCTCCAACACCTTCGTCATTGCCATTGCCATTGCCATCTTGTCCAGATTCACCATCACCATCACCATTACCGGGTCCGGATCCGCTACCAAATATACCATTTATAGAATTTATCATATCATTAGGAGTGTATTTAGTAATGTCACCCTAATTTTTATCAATTAATGTTTAAGTTTATATTCTGGAATATATGTCGAATACTCTATTAATGCAAACCTCAGGATCATCATATATGATAGACAAAATACGTTGATCAATATTGCCAACCAACTTTTTCCATGCATTAACTGCTTTTATTAATTCACCCGCATCAACTTGCCATATTCTTGCGACGCCTATAAAGAGATTAATTTTCCGTACAAATCGATATAATGCGAAATAATAAATGAGTGATGAAAAAAGAAAACCTGTAAATCATTTCACTTATTATGTGAAATGATTTACAGGTTTTCCTTTTTCGTCACTCAAATATTCTTACCACTATTGTCCATTGTTAGTAAATCACCATTAGGCAGTTCCAACAAATATGCAGTCATCCTATCAACTTGCATATTTTGATGACCCGTTGCTGGGTTACTACAAAATAATATCGAATTGAGATAATTATTATTATTATATAAATCTTTAAATCCATAAAAAATGAGAAACTTTACGTTTTAGTAATGCGAGGAACTGCCAATGGAAGAACAATTCTCCATAATACTTTTTGAACAGGATTGAATAGTTCTAAATATCCATTATTTCTACCGTCCTATAGTTAATGACAAAGTCAAATTTAAGAGGCAGGAACTTGAAAGTTGAGCATAAACTTTTAGTCTTACTTTTGATGGAATCACAGTTGCCAATTGACTCGACTTAGTCAGATATATTGAAACATTCTTCAAATTTTTGTTAAAATTTTCATAGTTTCCCTCATCACTCGAGTCTCTCATATATGAAAGAACTTCGACGTTACCCATATTACTAATTAAAGCCTCCGGTAAATTTGAAATAATGGAAGCTGCTATTGAACCATTATTTGTTTGGAGAAAACGTGCAGATAATCTAATAAATGAAATAACTTAAAAAATTGATAACCCATATAAAATCTCAATTTTCGTTTAAACATACACATTAGCCTGTGCAACACCATCTTGAGAGAGATATGTAATTTCTGCCGGAGTAGGCCTTAATAAGTCTTTAACATTAAGGTTTTCAATAACATTAGGGATCCTAATAAATTCAATTATCATATTAATGATACAATACCATTGAACACTGCTTAAAGTATTCTCCTTCATCACCAATAAAATCGAATAGTGCTAGGTACTATTCAGATCGCAAGTGCTGTAAGCAATATATAACTATAAAAACCGATAATATACTTACAAGCCCTCGAAATTATTATCTGACTGTGCGTAAACAAGAAAATGTTTATTAAAGAAGTCTATAAAAAGCCACACATCAGGTTTGACTAAGTATAATTGGGTAACTAAATGATTAAATAGTAACGGTAAATAAATAGAAATGTCAAAAGAAATCCATTATACAATACAAACAAAAACTTGCTTCTCATGGACGTTTCAATTATATATGAAGCATTTGTATTAAAGTCAAGCATAATGATGGATGTCCTTCCTTGTTGGTAAAAAACTAAGATTTATAACACAACATAATTATATATTACTATTGTTTTACTGGCTACTTGAATCTCAGAAAACGCATACCTAAGATTCCAATGGCTTCAAAATCCTTTAGCATGATTGTTTCTTCTGGGCTCAATATTGGCAACTATTTGAATGCATAAAAAACGTCTATAGGTCGATATTTTTATGCGTAATTTCAAATTGTGAATATGTGAAGAAAAAACATTTAATATTTGGAATACCGTAAGTGCAGTTATAGAGTTGTTTGAGAAGTCGATCAAATGTATAGAATTGTCGGAAGAGCTATGAAGTATTAATAACCAAGAACCATCTCTTTTTTGTACAATAGACAATTTTAGATATGAGGAGGCTAGAGAATGGTTAAAAATTTTTTTTTTACAAACTTTTAAGTCAGTTTATTTTCATGAAAGCAATTTATATATGAATATTTATGTATTGTATACCTCGCAGCAGAGGAAAGTATTCGTGCAAGTCAACGCTTCTGACTTTTTGGTGATTTTGACAAATTGCATGTAATGTCACAGGATTTGTTGTTACTACAAATAATGAACCATCATCAAGGCCTACTATATCGAGAGCTTCACCGTGGGTTAATATTCGGAAAGTGTATATTTGTTCCGTGAAAGTATGGATGCGGCCTTTATTTATACAAACTTATTATGGTAAATGGAATAATATAGTATGTTATCATAAATTTAATATCTTGCCTTCAGTTCGTTCCAATTCCTTAGCTTCGCTCATATGAATTTCCCACAAGCCCTAAAAGCAAATATGTTAAGAATTTGAGATAACAACATCGCATAATACGTTAAATTCACTCACTTACTCTAAATTTCATTGCAAATTTCTTCACTACACATATTTTCCTTTCCAAATTTGATTTCGTCCAAACTTCAGTAATTATCGGACTAGTCAATGGAACTTTTTTTCCTAACTTAATTGCGTAATTAGACTCTATTCCAACTGGGAATCCATGCTTTTGAAAAACTGCTATCAAAAGATCTTTAGAAGCCTTGTCATATTGATCAAAGTCAAAAACGTTTTGCAAAATATATGAAACACCCTCATCTGGGTATTGCTATATAAATATGAATCCATTTGAGAATAACGTTACTAATTATGGCTGATACAAAATAATCTAATAGACGCATATTGCTACATAGATTTGTTAGATTAGAATCAGGATACTATGATAACCTACTTGCATGTGTTTAACAATATTCACTAACTCTCTCGTAGAATAAGGATAAGAAATTAACCCTTCATCTACGAGTTTTCTTAGATCACTAAATGCAGCTGTAAGTTTTAATAAAAGATCATTAGGAACTGAAGGGGCATAGTTGCGTAACAGAAACATTTCGGAGTCCGGATCAGAATTATCAATTGTGTGGCTTTAAAAAAAAATTGATGTTAATATAGGAGCAATAGTGAACATATAAAAAAACAAATGACGATTTGTTACCAACTAAAAACATCTCCAATTTCTCTATAAAAATCGTTCCCTAATAATATTGAAAACCGTTCAGATATACAATATATCATGATAATGTGATGCTGTTAAAAGAAGAGTTTTTAACTAACCAAGAAATGGAAATCCTGGAAAATAATTATTTAGTTTATAAATATTTAATATTTGAACATAATTAAATAACAAGTATCCTTAAAGTCTTGTAATTCCTACCAGGTCTATTTGCCAAAACAATCATTCTAAAGTTCTTATGAATCACGATGCATTCTTCTTTAGAGTTTTTTGACGTAATAGTTGAGACTATTCTCCGTCCATCACCTAAAACCATTTGACCATCTTCAAGAAGATTCCTGAGTATTGCTGTAACGTACGTAGGAGCTTTATCTGCTTCATCCACAACTAATACATGGCCTAAGTATTTAAAATTATAATCTCATGAATGTTAGAAAATATTTGATAAATATCCCTAAGGTAGGACAACACACCATTCGTTACAGCTTTGACTAAACAAAATAATATAAATTTAGTAATTATATCTCTTAAGGATCTTGCAAATTATTTCTATTTAATATTCAAATCAATTACCTAGAGGTGAATCTTCAAATTGCAAGACACCATTAATGATTGTAGGTATAGAGGTTAAACTTTGCACAGTTGTATCACTATAATAGTATTTAAAAGAACAGTTAAATGCCTAAATTCTCAAAATTATAAAATCTTGTACAGGACATATTAATTGTTAAAAACAACCGCACACACACCGGTGTAATTGTATATATTCCCTTGGTAACTTCAGCAATTGTAAAAAGTAGTCCGCCAGCTTGTTTTTTCCAACTCCTTGATTTCCAATCAGCAACAAATGTTCACCTGAACAATCCAAAAAATTGACAATAAATATTAAAAATGAAAATTAAATTGCAACAATAGTAGAACAAAGGATCATTAAAATACCCAATTGATAATCTTGTAACATTTGCATTAGTATCTCTGTCTGCTTTGGATTCTCGTGAAAAACTACCTCAGGAACTAAAAGAGGATTTGAGTCTTTTGCTATGGGCTGTGACACTTCTCCGATACGAAGAATTTTGGGGTCGTCTCGTGATGGGAGAACCTCAATTTTCAACTGAAAAAAACCACTTTAGAATATGATTTACATCAAACAGCGGCATTAAAGCTTTCTCACCTTTTCAATATCAACAAGTTCTGTGGGTGGTAAAATCTCATTATTTATCATCAATTCTTCTAGCGCTGTTCTGACCAAGGACGGCAAGAACCTGGAGAGCGTAGCTTTTTGAATTGCTAGATAAAGACTCTCTTTAGGAAACAGCGTAATACGGCGACAAATCCGGATAAGTTGTCTATTGAAAATATTATTTTCATTATTAAATCATTAGGCATCATATATTTGAAATTTTCGGCTGCCATTAAAATTGATTTAGTTAAATTTAATTGTGATTTAAGCATCATTAAATTTGCTAAAATAAATTTCAATGATAACTAAAAAATTTGTCGACTCCAATGTAGATGTAAACATGAGATCACACAAATTTTTGTTATAATGAGCAACATATAAATTTTTCAGGTTTATAAAATTGGCACTGTTGGATTATAAGTCTGAAAATTAACATTGCTTAGATTAAGTTATAAATGTACCGTGTAGAAAGTGTATCAGATAAAGTTTTCACTGTTTCTCCAGTATCTTGACGGAGATGATTTACGAAGTGCAAAAGGAGGGAGAGTTTTTTGGTGTCTATACCTGGAGACAATGTCTCAAGAATTTGTGTCTCTTCCTAGATAATTAATTATGTGATGGTGAGAATTTGTAAAAAATCAACTTCAAAAAATAAAGATGAAGTTCTTTTATACCAGATAATCTAATGGAAAAATAACAATAAATTGGAACATTGCAACAATTTCTGGAGTGAGCCAAGAGCCAGGACGAGCTAAGGCCACGATTCGAAAAGCTGGATGTATCGCAAATATCCCTTTTTTTTCCAACGACTCATGAGTCAATCCATCTTTATGAATCAGCCTTTCATATCTAGCAGGATGAATCAACTGCTTTCCATCAGGAAGAGAAAGTTCACGCTCTTTAACCAGCCTCTCCAAAACCATAAGTGTTCCTCCAGAAAGTGTGTCAATTCCATCTAGAACAGCAAGGTGTCCAGAAATCGTGGCCCGCACTAATGGCGAATTTTCCCACATAGTATCACCGGCAAAAGTAGTACTACGACGCTGGAGAAGATCACGAGAAGACATATCTTTATATAAAGGAATATATTCAATATTGTAGCTAGGAATAACGAAAATATTAATTTGAAGGCATAATACTGCAATAAATGACAAGAAATAAAATCAAAAAAATAATATTTACCCAAGCTTTGCTGCAAAATGTCTCATCAATGCACTCTTTCCAACTCCTTTTTCACCAATGAGACAAAAATCACCAACAGAATGTGCAATCAACATTGTATTAAAAATATTTTGGTGATATTTTGTCTCTACGAAGAAATCAGCCAAGAGTTCATCTGAACCGCCAAACATGTTAACATGATGAATTTTATTATAGTCCATATGCTGGAAATCCAGTTCGAACTTATATATAGGAAGCTCAATGCCAACAGTTTTTCCTATATCGTTTGATGGTTGGATATTTTTAATATTGTATCCTGGCATACATTGAAAAATAGGTTCATCTTTTTTAATATCATTTGCAGAAGTTTTATCAAAATCTAATCCAAGCATTCCAAAGCGGTGATAAGTTGCTTCGATGACGCTTTTTTGTTCAGCATTACTAAGAAAAGGATAAAATCCAAAATTTAATTGTGAAAAGTTTCACAAGCATTACTAAATCATGTTTAAACTTTTCGAATGTACAAATTTCTTGCAACTCATATTATCAAATTTAAAATTTCACCTGTGAAATAATGGCCATGGGTATAACAAATCGATTAAGAAGCGCGGCCGAATATACGGAAATTTTTGCAACACTAATACACTAGTATCAATTGAAGCTGGGAATTCAGGAATAGAGATTCCACCGTTATTATCATACTGTATATTTCCAAGCACATTTGCTACAGATACTAATCGTTCAACTATTTCTAAAGTAGCGTTTGGAGCTAATTTACGTAAATGTTTTATTTGAGAATCAAATTCAGGTTGCTTAACGTCTCTACATTGAAAACGAGACCTAAGCGGAGGATCTAAAGAATGACCAATATATGGGGGAACTGGCAAACCCAATGCCATCACAATGAAGCGTTCAGATACCTTGACTAATTTTAAACCGTCCATACTGACTTTTGAATTTGATTTGATAAGAGAAGCGTAACGCTTTGAATGTACTAAAAATCTACCATCTTCAAGTAACATTTCTCTATTTTCCAATAAATTATTTAAAATTGGAAGTACATTTCTTTCTGCTTTTTCAATACCATCTAATATTAAAATTCGCCCATGTATAGCAGCACGTACGCATGCCTAAATATTTAACCAAAAAATTAAAAGTTAACTCCTGAATGATATATATATATATTTTAAACACTGATACATGCCTGGTCTACATAATAAGCGGTACCACCAGAAATCTCCCGACGTTGTTTAAGATCGGAATCCGTGCAATCTTTAGATAACGCTACATATTCAATTTCTCTGCCTGTAAGTTGAGCATACCTAAGAACGAGACTTCTCCTTAATGGGCCCGGAGGACTAAAAATGCATAAAGTTTAGTGTAGTCAATAGTAAATATATTGAAAGTTGATTCGCATATAGTACTTACCCAATAAGAAAAATATCTTGACCAAGCTTTTCTTTTTGCATCATCCTAGAGACCATATAATATTATGTATCTTTATCTATTGAAAATTATGCGGATAATTTAGGTATTTTACCATCTTAAATGCCGGATAACTTCCTGAATAAGGTCGATCAATGAAAGAAGGTAATAAAAGAATATATTATTTATTAAGACTGTAAACATTATGTATGCTTAGATATAAAACGAATGTCATCTTATCAATTTAGTAGATATAATGAGTAGAATCGATTTAAAAACGTACTTGTGAATCTTCGAATAAAGGGTTAACACAATATGGCACTAATTCTGGATTTTTGGGCTTCAAAATTTTTAACGAAACATCGCCAATGCGAATTGTTGCTATTTTAAATGTTAAAAATTAACCAATTTGTTAAAAAATTCCCAATATTTTCAATCTTGATCATGAATTACCAAAGTTTTCGGAATCTGCAGTATCAATTGATACATCATTACTTGTATGATCCTGTGATTTTAACGCCTTACTAAAGTGATCAAGACGTCTTCGAGCAACAATTATGTCGTTATTTTTACCACTCATTAGTGAAATGATCTGACAGTGTGCACAAGTATTTATAATAATTTCGGGAAATCTACCGTTAATATACCGTCTTTTGCGAATCACCGTAAATAAATCCGAAATAATAAAGATTGTACTTGTCAAGAAATTTTCTACCCGGGTATTATCAAATTACCCGACTTTCCGGATAATTTAGCATATAATTTAAGTTAAATCAGTACTGTATTGTAGAACCTTGCCATGTGGTATTATTATTTTTTTTTTTGTCTAACGTAAACTATGGATGCCCATTATAGTATGGATTTTTTTTAAAAAAAAACTTTTTTTAAAATAAAATTAGTCAATTGATTAAAACCATTAGTCATAGAATTAGTTGATTGGTCAGTTCGTCTAACTAACCAATCACTTTTTTAACCGATTAGTCGGTTAGACGAACGACATGATTCTTACTTACATTCGACGATTATTTAAAACAACTATATTGAACAAAATAAAAACTTGTTACTGGAATTAATAAGAGAGTCATATAGAAAATCATTCTAGCTTTGTCTCTTGGTCATGGATGAGCTTTGGATCTGGTAGCGAATCACGTAGGCCAAAGAAAAGTGCAAACAATATTATAAAGTTCTTTTTTTTTGAATGATGTAAAATTTCAACTTGTCTTATTTTAATAGTTGGCATACCATTATCAATGCAAAGGTTGAAAAGTACTTATTATGGAAGGTTCGCTGATCAGATTTTGCATTTCAAAAATTAACATGTTTTCCGCTTATAATATCCACACTGAAATTGATCCCGTTCCGATATTCCATGAAGATGTTGAAAAATGATTTTGAAATAATTATTACGGCTGATGCTGGTATTAAAATTAATATGGAATCTTAAAATCTTTTTGTTGAGCTAGGATTTAGGATTAGAGTTTACAATAAAAGAGTAAATGTGGATTTTAGTATGACTTATATTTTCAAATCGAGATCCCAAATTTTGGCATCAGTCGCGACATTTATTAAATTTATATTCTTTCAGATGCTTCCTTATGTTATGCCAGGTACAAACAAAAAGATGCGATAAATGGTCAGTTGAATACCGAGTAACGTTATTAATGGATTTTTGCTTATAGATAGGTGGTATATCAGATTTAAATCAGGTGAAGTAAATGGGCCTTAGTGAACAGGAGGAACCGTCGACTGATCCTTCACCTGGTGTGCAACATATGGGGGGTGCCAGTAGAAACCAAGCAAATTGTTTCTAAGTAAATTTTTTTTTAAATTTTAAATTAAAATATCTCAACAATTATTAAACCAAACTTGATAAATTTTTTTATTTTAATTAGTTTTAGAATTAAAATAAAAAAAAGATTACCAAGTTTAGTATAATAGTTGTTAAGATAGTTTAATTTAAAAAAAATTTACTTAGAAACAATTTGCTTGGTTTCTACTAGCACCCCCATTCCGCTAGTACATTATCATGATTACTAGCGGAATGATCTGATATTGTAAAATAATTTTTTTATATGTTGCACACCGGGTGAATGTTCCTCCTGCGGTATTCAGCATAGCGGGCATTCATTCTGATTGGCTATACGATCGGAATGTTACACGGATAATCTTTACATATTAGAATAACCTCTGAACAAACTTTGAACCAATTGTTTGCCACGAAATCGAATTGTTAATCGTTGTAACTAAAAAAATTTAGCAGTATACCTTTCGTTCTATATAGTATTAAAATAATTCAAAAACCGAAAGATAATTCAGAAGTTAGCTAAGAGATGTTTATTTGAAAAATGGTTGTGCAAGATTTTTGTTACTTAGATCTAGTTCTTCCTAATGAAAAAAAGGGAAAGAGAAAGAATCAGCACTGTGATTTAAAGAATCAGGGTGTTGTCTGTAATAATGAACAGTATGATGTTTCTCTTGTATCCAATCAAATAATAATACCAAGTTTAAGCTAACATCTAAACTTGGTCAGCAAAGCCTTGTGTCAGAAATATTATAACAAAATTGATTGTGAATGCAAAGAAAACTAAAACTAATTATGTATGTTTGCACCTAAACATTAGGTATATACATTTATATCATGATCTGGTACAGAAATGAAGATATTTGTGAAGGTTTCAGAACATTTAATTAACTTTTTTGAACTATAACAAGGAGTAAAAATGTGTTGTTATACTTGTATAAAACTGATAATAATCCAAAATATATTAATTTATCTAAGTATTTGCTGTTATAAAAAAGAATTCTAAAAGAAAATATATAAAAATTCTAAAATAGGTCATATGTGTTAAGAAACAATGTCATTTATTTTCAATTTGAATTTCAGAAACTAAAATTTGTATATTATGAAGCATATGCAGAACTTAATGAAATAAAATTAAATAAATAATAAGTTTTTATTTATTATGATATTTTTGATTTCTTACAATTTTTTTTTCTTTTTAGAGTTAGTTTCTCTTAATAAAAAGATTAAATTAATAGTTTAAATATTATACACAAGACAGTATATGTATAATAAGAAACCTGTATTTAATTCAGATGAATTTAAGAAAATATTTAAAGAAACTAAATTATTACTAAAAGTAAAAATCTACAAATTGCTTATTTTTGAGACTTAGTCTAGCCTGTATTTAGAGTTAAATTTTTTTTGTTAGCTTGATGCAGTCTGTTTTAAAGATAAAATTTTTTTGTTAATCTGGTCTGGTCTGTATATATTAAATTTTTTCTTTAGTCTAATCTGGTCTACAAAATTTTTTTATATAATTTTATAAATTTTTTGACCCAGCTTACAATTATAAAATTTTGCAAATTTGTTTATCTAGTCCAATCTGCAATTATAAAATTTTTCTTTAAACTCAGTCTAATCTGTAAAAATTTATAAGTCAAACTAAATCAGGTTGCAAAACCCAATACAAACCTCCAAATAAAAGGTTTTTTAATCAATTAGTAGCAGAACTAATCCAAAAACAAAAATTCACTTAACTAATAAAAAAAATAAAAAAATACTAGTTTTTTTTTGTTATTTTTTAGTAAGACTTAATAATAAATTTATTAATAGAATTAAAGTAAAAGTTAAATATCTATTAAATACATTTAGTATATTATTTTTGATAATAAAAATCATAGCTAATATTAGCTTAACAATATAGCATGAAACTATTTTGTAACAAAAAATCTAATATATAAAAACACAAATAATAATAGTAGAAAGTTTTTTGTCAAATAATATAAGCTTAAAAAAAGATTAAAGAATGCTTAAAATAATTTTTAAATAACTAATATATTCTTATTAGAATAAAAAGTTAATTGTACTTAATGTTAATAATTTTTATAATATATATAAATATTACTATAATGATACAACTTCAACATATAATGGGTGTGGCAACCTAATGAAGTGATCAGGTTGTCAACCCTCCAAGTGATAGGTTAGATGTTCAAATTTCATCAATGATGAAAATTTGGATAATTATCTATGTAATATTTGTATTATAGCAACTGTTATTAACGATTGGGTTAGAATACCTATAATGGTGATCGCACCAGTATAACTGGCAGGTCATAGGGCATCTGTATAATGTTAAAATTACATAGAGGAATGCAAACTAACAAATCGGGTGATGCAAATACTAAATAAGTCCTTGTGGCTATGTAAATCTGTTGAAATTAGATAACAAGAAGTTCATTTGAAAAGATCCAAGTAGAGAGGTAGCTGGATCTTTAACAGCCCTACTGTAAAGACTAGCTTAGTAAAATGGATATCAAGACTAGTACCCAGTTGTAGTAGCTGAATAGGCAAGAACTTTCAAGTTAAAAGTCTTAAAGGTATCACCAACCAGGCTGCCAGAACAAACCAAAGGAAAAGGATATCAAGCTGACCCAATATATTGATAGACTGATCATACTTCTATACAGGCTATCTGGATTGGAAGTTTGGTAAAAAGGCAAGAGAAAATGAAAAGTTATACTAAAGTACTAGAGTTATGCTGTAAAGTAGATGCTAGGATCGAAATGAACTCTACAAGAGCATAGCAGTTTAATAGTTAGCTCTGATTACAAGTGTTGGTTTTGTCATAGTGATACCTAGATCAGCTATAAAAATAAGTACAGAAGGCTCTAGGGGTTTACCTCAAGGATAAATTAGTCCTAAGATTGAGACAATAATCTGAACATTTAGGTATGACCCAATGAGTTAATACAGGTTACAGATTTAGAGAATTTAAAATAGAACACCCAAGCAGAAGTGTTAGGTATGACAATTGGTAAGGAACCTTTGAGTAAATTTCTTAAATAGGTAATATAAAAAAGTTATATATGTAGCAATTGTACTCTCTTCTGTAGTAGTTCATTAAACCATAATACCAATAAGTAATTAATAAAAGTTAAAAGACCAAAGAGGTTACCTTAACAAAAAAAAACAATTTCAATATATATAATACTTTATTTTGTTATAATATTGCTTAAAGTCTTATTAAATACAGCATCAATTCTAAACATTAAGAATAAAAATTTTTATAATGAAAAAGATATTTATACAAAAACTGTTATTAAAATACTTACTTGTATTTGTTTCTTATTTATAATAAAGTTATATAATACAAAATCAATATTTATTAATTTAATTTCTATATCTAAGATATATGAAAAGCAGGTCAAACACTTTTTAGTTTACAGTTATAATAATAAAATTAAACAATATAAAGAAGATTGAAGTATATATAATATTAACTTATAAGACTAAAAATAAAACAACTTCATATAGTAAAGCATAATATAAATGCTTTTCAAAGTTTAACAAATATAAATAAGATAAAATCTTATTTAAAAATCAAATTTTGGTTACATCTATAAATTATCTAAACAGCTTAATATATAATATACTGTTGCTCATAGAATTAGATTTATGAATTCTTTTGTTATATCAGAAAAGATTTTTTATATTATACAAATGATTGAGCTTTTATATATATTCTTGAATAGTCATAAATCTGGTTTTCTTGTCAATTATATTTTTTTTAATAA